GAAACTGATTTTAAGTTTTGCATCTGAATTAATTTCCTGTGAAACTGTATTTTGGTTTATTAAAAATTCAGTTTGACTACTTTCACTTTCAGTTCCATAATTCAGATTTTTGTGTCACACATCCTGGTCCTTGAGAAAGCCAGCCAGAGCAATCAAACACAGATCCACAGATTTATGTTTCAATTTGGTGAGGTAGAAAATGGTACATTTGGTTTCAGCTAAAGAGCTCCTGTCTGTCTGTTTCGGGTTCAGGAAACTGTCACACGGAAAAATGATTCTCTCTGATTGGTTGCTGTGGCATGTCGAGCAACAAAAGTTAAATTTGTTTAACTTGAGCAGCGCTGCTTTGGACGCGCCGCATGCACGGAAAATGCTCTGCTGCATCTTACCGCTACCTTGCGCGCCGCTCTAAACTGACAAAACGTGCAGCGCTGCTCCTAGATACGCATCCACCATAGACTTTGCCTGTAAACTCATTGACTTTGCCTGTAGACTGGCTGCTTTGGCTGCTCAAAATGCGTCCGGTGTGTACCTGGCTTTAGGCCAAAGGTCAATGATTAATTTTGTAATTATTTCTTTGGACCTGCGGCCCTATGTCTTGGACACTTGGGTGAAGAGAGGGGCAGAGCTATCAAATGATCACCACCTGGTGGTGAGTTTTATCCAGTGGCAGGGTTGCCGGTCAGACCTGGTAAACCCAAACATTTTGTGAGGGTGAACTGGGAAAGTTTGAGGAGTCCCCTGTCCTTGTGATCTTCAACTTTTCACATGTCCCGTGGGAGGTCAGGAATCTGAATGGGCCATGTTCAGGGCCTCCATTGCAGATGCAGCTTTCAGGAGCTGTGGCCTGAAGGTCATCAGTGCCTGTTGCAGCGGCAACCAAAGGACTCGCTGGTGGACACCAGCAGTGATGGAGGCCATCAGGCTGAAGAAGGAGGCCTTCCAGATTTGACTTTCCCAGAGGACACCGGAAGCAGCTGACATGTACAGGGTGGCAAAGAGTGTTGCAACTTCTGTTGTTGCAGATGCAAAAACTCAGGTATGGGAGGAATTCAGGGAGGTCATGGAGAAGGTCTTTCGGTTGGTCTCACGGAGGTTCTGGCAAACCGTTCCACGACTCAGAAAAGGAAAACGTTTGAGGCTGTCATGGCTGACACGTCTCTTCAACATCGCATGGAGGAATGGGACAACACCTTTGGAGTGGCAAACCGGGATGAAACAGTGGACCAGATCTTTACCATTGCAGAGTTGCTAAGGTGGTCGTGGGAGTTTGTCTCTATGGTCTACATGTGTTTTGTAGACTTGAAGAAGGCTTACAACCGTGTTCTTCAAGGCATTCTGTGGGGGTGTTGTGGGAGTATGGAGTGTCTGGGTTGCTATTAAGGGCGATCCAGTTCCTATATAGCCAAAAAAGGGGCTGTGTTAAAACTCTTGGCACAGAATCAAAATTTTTCTTAGTGCAGGTTGGACTCTGCCAGTGCTGTCCCTTGTCTCCAGTCTTGTTATTGTGTTTATAGATAGAATCTTAGAGTGCAGTTTTTGAGAGGAGGGTGTCTGGTTTGGGAACCACAGGGTCTTATCTCTGCTGTATGCAGATGATATGGCTCTGTTGGTGTCTTCGGACCAAGAGCTTCAGCGTGTACTGGAGTGGTTCACAGCCAAGTGTGAAGCGGCTGGGATTAAAGTCAGTTCCTCTAAGTCAGAGGCCATGGTTCTCAACTGTTGGAGATGATGTGGTTCTGTTGGTGTCTTCGGACCAACATCTTCAGCATGCACTAGAGCGGTTCACAGCTGAGTGTGAAGCGGCTGGGATGAAAATCAGGTCTGTGGTTCTCGACCGGAAAAGGGTGAAATGCCCCCTCCACATTGGGGGAGAGTCTCTGCTTCAAGTGGAGGAGTTTAAGTATCTGGGTGTCTTCTTCACGAGTGATAGTAGGATGGAGCAAGAGATGGACCGACGGATTGTGGCCTTGTCCTCAGTAATGATGGTGTTGCTTTGGTCAGTCATGGTGAAGAAAGAGCTGAGTCGAAAGGCAAAGCTCTTGATTTACTGGTCTGTCTATGTTCCAACCCTTACCTATGGTCATGAGGCGTGGATCCCAAACGAGATCCCGGATACAAGTGGCCAAAATTAGCTTTCTTCGTAGGGTGGCCGGGCTCAGCCTTAGAGATAGGGTGAGAAGCGCCATCATCTTCTAATTCTACTTCTGTTTTAAAGGTAAAATGAGGGAAACTTTATAGTTTAGATAAAATGGGTCTAATGTGTCACAGCTTCACATCTGTCACCTGGCTGCAAAAGAGGAAAAAGTGGGGCAGCTGTGGCAGAGTGGTTAGGGGAGTCGTCCTGGAACCAGAAGGTCACCAGTTCGATCCCCCATCCAGCTGTCTCAGTTGTTGTGTCCTTGGGCAAGATACTTTAACCCCAATGCCTCTGATGTTTGTCCCATCTGTGCATGAATGATTGGTACTGATTAGTCTCCATAGTTGATTTGTACATGTTAGCTTTGTAGGAGATCTGGTAGAGTGCTGTGTGAATGGGTAAATGAGGACACAGATTGTGTGAAGCGCTTTGAGTATCCTGGTTGGGTGATATACAAGTACAGTCCATTTACCATTTAAAAATTGGGAAATTGTGCCTGTAGTAATTTCACAAGTACAATAGCTGGACTGAAATTGGGTTAATATCAGCCAAAATAAACAACTTTCAGAAAACCTCAGAGTATCACTTGAATGATTGGTTTCTTCTAAGTACAAAATAAAAAAGGTGGTTTTACACAATATTTTAATAGTACTGCACAAACAAAGATCTTGAAGAAATTTTATGCTTTATAAAAGCGTCAACACGGACTCAAACACACCCACACAGGAACACACTAGATTACAGCAATTTCCAACTCTTTATTGCTTTCATTCACACTTTAAATTCATCTAAAACAACAAAACAAATGACCTCTGTGGTGGACTCACGACCTGTCCAGGAAAATCCCTGCCTCTTGCACAGAGAATGCTGGAGATGAGCATCAGCTCCCCGCAAAAAGGGAAAAGCAGGTAAAAAAAATAGATTGATGGATGACACTAATGATCACACTGATCTGGCAAACTATTAGCCAGGGATTCGGTGTTTGTAGTAGATTTTGGGGTTTAGTTTTTACTGGTACAGTAATACTGGAGATAATATCTAACAGGTTGCCAGTACTAAATAGGAGAACAGCCTGAAAATAGGATGTCTGGTCACTCTGGGTGAAATAGTTTGTGCTTTGACAAAACATTTGGAGGTGTTCCAATGATAAGACTAATATTTTTTTAATTCATGTAGTTTTCTTGCACACTCACCTACTGAACAACCTACTGAACACCAAAAGACCTTGATGTGTCACAACAGTGTTTGATGGGTTTCTTGCTAACAAAGATCATTGATAATATAAAACATGTTATAATTTAGACTTTCGTGCAATGAACATTTTTCCTACTCTCTGTGATCTTTGACATCTTCCTCAAAATGTAGGGACCCCAAGTTGAGAAGCATTATCCTAGCTCTAAAAGCAATTGCAGCAGCTTTAAGCACAGTTTCGGGGTTATATAGGAAAATTAGCTAAAATCCTATCTCATATAAGCAAATATTTTATTTTAATTAACCACACAGAGTATGGAGGTAGTATGGACCATTGCTGTCCAGCTGAACTGTTTTTGCTCTGGCTGTAGCTGATTTCCTGTTAATAAGGTCCTTAATCAGAGCCCTCCAACCCTAATCACTTCATTAGACCTGATGCCCGCTGTGTGGGCTGCCCGTGGATGGGAGGGGGCAAAAGCACAAGCTGGCATTGAAACTGACATCTGAGAGCACAAGACACAAGTGGTTTGTCTGATGGGAATAAATGGCTGTGGCAGGAGCGAAACAGAAGACGAGAAGGACGCTCAGGCTTCCAAATTAACTGCACAACTGAAGGCAATTATTAAAGAAAAGAGGGGCTGCAGCAGAACAAATGCTGATTGGCTGGTTGTTATGAGGAGGGATAGAGAGCTCAGACCAGCAGGAGTGGACCTCAGGAACATATTGTCCAATACTGGGCTGAATGGGAGCTAAATTTACACAGCAAGAGAATCAAAGTCAACTCAGCAGAAGGGGATTAAGGCCAGTGAAGTTTTTCATTTTGTTTTTTTGTGTATTATTTGACGCAACAAGGAAAGCCTTTGCTGGAAAATAATACATATTTGTATTATTTGATCAAAAAAATACAAATAATGAAAAGTGAAAAAATAAAGATTCAGCCACTTTAGAGCATGTATTCATGTGTACACCTTTCCAACTGTGTTTGTGTGTGCGTGGCTCTTTGTCTACACCAAGCACGTGCGTGTCACTGTGTGTAAGTGTGTGAGTGTGTGTGTGTGAATGACAGGCATGAGTGGATCACCCTGCCATGACAGAGTCTATTGATCAGTGTGTCAGCATCTGGGGAAAAGGTTAATCTGCCCGATGCCAGCTCCGCGCCTCACCACATCTCTGGCCTGCCTCGCATCCCGCCCCAGCCTGCTCCCTCTCTTATCAGGATTAGAGGAGTGTACAAAAGGGCAGAGCATTCCCAGGACACACACTGACCTTCAATAATCCCACCAACCTGACGCTCTGCTTATAATTAACATCAGGAACAGAGAGGGAAAAATCCCTGGCCTGCCTGTGCAGCGTTCCTCCGACTCAAAGACTGAAACTAGAGAGAGAAAAAGTTACAGAGGAGTTGAAGACTCAAAGCACAAAGTCTCGCTTCACTTATATGTTCTGAATGCCCAAGAGATCGTGGCTGACATTCTGGGGGTGCTGACTAGCATACCCATGCTCCCCCGTGCACAGACCCTAAACACAGATTTTAGAAAAATGCTGAACCAAGCAGGGAGAAAGAAAAAAAAAGTTCTTGGGACCAGCAGACACGTCAGTGGTGAAGGAATGTGGAGGACAAAATACAAGACGCAAACATGTGTGTGTGTGTTTGTGTTTGTATGCTTACTGGGTCTTGGTTCATCTGCACTATGAGCTGTTTAACAGCGTGCAGTGTGGGGTGCGCCCACGGAGAAGGATCCTGCCAGTGACGATTCAGGTCAAAGCCCATCAAGGAACACCTGCACGCACACACATATGCAGACACACATTTAGGGGGAAAATCTTACACAGTGCAACATTAAATAATATAGTATAATAATATAATGCACGCTTGGAGCGAAAGGTTGTTTAAACAATTTATTTGCATCTTGTGCACAGAGATGCTTCTCTCCAAAGGTTTTAGTCATTAGATGACAAAGCAACAACAAAGGCAGAGAGAAAACATGCTGTAGACTAGTCGTGTCCAGCAACCCGCATTTTCACAAGTACTCATTCAAAAATACCCAGAAAAAATACCAGTATCAGATTTGATACCCTCAAGTGAAAAGCTTGTCTGTCAGTTGTCTTATTTATAACGCTGAAATAGTGGTCAGATAATGGGATGGCACAAACTTCAGCCACCTGAAAAATAAAATATTTTTTCTTACACAACTTTTTAAACTACCCTGGACCTGAAAATTAAATCTGTTTTACAAACTTCAGACCTGAAATATGAAGTGGGCTTATTATAACCATAATCACCTGCTGCTAAGGAGGTTATGCTTGCAACATCATTTGGCCATCAGCATTATGATTGCTACTCTGAAAACTTTGAAACCTGACCTCATTAGGTCAAAAGTATTTGACCCATCACATCAAACTGAGGAAAAAGTCAAATTATATCATACTTTTGAATTCCTGTTTGTCAAGCAACATTTTGATCATCCTGATATCATGAGCAGTTCCAGAGATATGCCTTGATTTGTCAGTATTTGTCAGTATAACAGTATTTGGATAGTAAGATTTACCAGCTGGAAAGAAAAAAATCTAGCTTACAGGGAAATTAACAAAAATCTAAGGCTTTTCTTCTATAAATTGTTTTTTTTTCTTTAAAAGAGACAAAACAAAAAAAATAATGAAAAAAAAAACCTAGTAGTATATTAAACTAGCCTGGCCCTTGCCTTCCTATGCAGTTCCACTCAATTCTAGTTTCCCTTCACTGCTCCTCGTATGAAGCAAAGTGAAGGACAAGGGTCTGGTTTTTACCAGGCTAATATTAAACTAGAAATATGTTAAACACTGAATGAAAAGAGTGAAAGAAGTGGAGACAATCTTATTAAATCTGCTCCTTATATAAAAAAAAAAATCACAAACAAACAAACAAACCACAACCTGAACAATCTTTAGATTTGAAAACGTAAAAGACAAAATATCTGGCATCCTTCATATCCTATGTCTACCGAACACTACATGTCATTATACTTTCACAATAAATTTGACTTAATCCTATTTTTAAACATATTGATTGTTTAAGAAGTTTTTTTCTAATTAATATCAAGACAATTACACAAACATATTCCCTGAATTACAGTGCAGCGCTCCTTCTCACAAGTTCGAAATAGAGTCACAAAAACTGTGGTGCCATCAGCAAACAAAATACATTTGAAAAGCTTTCACTCACTGACCAAATCATTCACATATAAAATAAACAGTTTAGGTCCAAGCACTGAACCCCGAGAAACTCCACAAGTTATATTATATAATTCTGATCTTATATTATTTACTTGAACAAACTGTTTTCTATTATTCAAATAACTAGATACCCACTGTAGTGCTAATCCTCTAACATCATATTTATTCAACTTTTCAATAAGGATGTTATGGTCAGTAGTGTCAAAAGCCTTTTTTAAAATAAATAGAAATGTTTTTGATCAACAGCAGTTGATATTTCTTTCATTAATTCCATAAGAGATAATGACTACTTAAAATATTATGTTTATCTATATATTGATCTAATCTTAAAAATGATTTCTCTAAAATTTTTGAAAACTCTGGCAACAGGGATATTGGCCAATGGTTCATGAAAACACATTTATCCCCATTCTTATGAAGAGGAATTCCCTTTACTATTTTAACATTGCCTGAAATATTCCTGTTATAAATGATAAATCATATATATGTAAATTAATCAATAGCATAACTCATTATACCCTTTATATGTTTTTTGCAGCTACAGCTCAAAAGCAGGCTTCAAAAAATACTTTAGATTATATTTCAGACATAGATAAGGTATTTATTTATTATTTTTGACAAAATGCAGTTATTGCAAACATTTTAACCATTGCATTACAGCTGTCTATTTCTCAGCATACTGTTTGCAACTTAACCCTCAGTTTTATATGACAGGTCACATATTAACTGACAGCACAGCAAATTTATGTCACATTTTTCAAAAATAAAAAAAGTATTAGAAGAGCTTTACGAAGAAGGAACCTACAAAGGACAACTTTGTTAAAGGTGTAACCACACTGCACAGACAACAACAGCTCTGCTTTATTTATTTTTCTGTAATTTTCAGTCAGCTCAGCAACAGTTAACAGAGACATAAAGGGAACGATGGAGGAGAAGGGTGGGGAGGGGAAGCACAAGTCTTGAAACAAAGATCCAGCTGGCCTGGAAGTGGACAGTGACCGTGTTGGTGATGAAAAGCCAAACATGCTCCACCTACATTGGTCTCTAACTACCATAACGGAATGTTTTATATGTCAGGATGCAGCCTAATCTGCCCTGCTGGTTGTCCTGTGGATCTTTGACATCTCCTGAAGCTGCTGGTAATGACGCAGGTGTTACTGTTACCCAGATACTACAGGGCAACAGAGAGAGCAGCCAGCCATGAACAGGATCCTCATCCCAGGTTAACTGCCATTGATTATTTGCTCTGCATGTTCCAGTCTGCTGTCCACTGTATCCTGCTGTGCTGTGTCTGCATCCCTGTGTGTGTGTGCAGGACAGAATGTGACAGTGCACATCGACGTCCAGAAATGGGAACGCGTGATTGGTGAGGAGATGACTGCCTCTATTTACCTTCTGTCAATATGAAGCTTATCACTACTAACTGTGAAAGCAAACTAATGCAAATCATCTTTTAAGCGGCAGCCACTAACTGTCGGCGAGGAACTGAAGACCCCAGCAGAGGTTTTTTTCTAAAGCAGTGGTGGGCCATCGCCACTAGATGGCATTGGCAAACACAGTGGGACACGCTGCTAGTGCTTATCTCAGTCAGTATTAGTATTCTGGGAGCTGAGCCTATTAAGTAAAAGGCAATTATGAGGACGGAAAGGAGAAGGGAGGATACCCACGGAGCTGCAGCAAGTGTTAAAGACAGAGAGAAGGAGAGGATGGACTGAGAGGCGGCGGAAAGAAACAGCCCTGAAGCCAAATATCCCTAACAAATACACTGCTGTTAGCTAGATCAATTTATTAAGCTTCCTACGGGTAGATTTAAGGAGATATAACCCACTTAAGATGATAAAAAAAACATAAAATAAATGAGTACTAAGGCGTGAAAAATAAAATAATAAATGAGGAAAGCATGCACCTGTAGTTGCCCAGGTAGACTCCATCAGGATTCAGCATGGGGACGATCTTGAAGATCACATGATCGCGAAGGATTTGAGCAACTGGATGCTGGCTCACCAGGAAGTCGATGACACCTGTCACACACACACACACACACACACACACACACACACACACACACACACAC